CTCTTGACTCTGGTAGGCTACGCCTAGCAGACATCCCTGCAAACCATTTGCATGTTCAGGGTCATGTTGTAGTCACTTGTCCTGTCTTATTAGAAGTTTCCTCTTCTCCCAAGGAAGAGCTCTTGCTCTTTCCCAAGATCCCTGTCAGGCCTTGTCTTGCCTAGCAGGCTGTCCCTGTGAATCCATGCTAACCTATTCCCTTTATCAGCCTTCCTTTGAAAATGGTGGTCATCACTGCAACTTAAAATGTCAGTGAAATGCAAGGTGGAGTGCCCGGGTCCCACATGTGGCCTTCTGTGAGGACTGTGTCACGTTTAGGTCCTGTTCTCTGATATTCCCCCACCTTTCTCCTTGAGCTTTCACAACAGTTAGTATTACTTGTTTTCTTCCCAAAGCCATATATTAGCCCATGAAGACCAGTATTTCATCTGCTGGATGAACTAAGAGGCTTGTTTTGAACAGAATATGCACATTCAACATGTCTCCCAAGTTGACAGTGGCATTTACAGAAGGTGTCAGGAGCTCAGTCTTGTTCTGCTCACATTTCTGACCACACCACCAACTTCAGAGCCATGTTGGCACATCTAGAGGGGGGACCACCTCCACCTTCTGTATCTGAAATTAGAACTTCCGTCCGCATCTTGCTCATATGTGAACTCTGCAAGAGTTTTTGTGTAGTTGCCTTACAGGGGAGAACAAATAACTACTGTAGGAGTTTATCTGTTGTATTATGTTGATGTATCTGTATGCTGCTTTTTCATCTGAGTGTGTATTAGTGAGACTTCTGTTAGTGAAAGGACTAGGTAGGGTTTATATATATACATCTTCTCATATGTCCTTAAAATGCTCTGTCTTGGAGTACAAAAAAAGTGCAAGTGCAGTTCAAAGGATAATTTTGTATTTTATAAGAAAACGGGTAGCATTTAGATTGTAGGATAAAAAGTAATTTTTAATGCTGTTTAAAATAAATGTCTGTAGGATATGTGTATACGTGAAATGGATAGTGTATCTCAAAGGACAAATTACTTTTTGCTTACATTCTTTCTCTTCAGAAGTCCCACTCTTGTATTGACTGTGGCTGAAATACAAGAGCAATGAAAAGCAAACACAATAAAATAGCAGTACTAGTATTCTTTAATCCTTCAAGTGCCACGCATGGTATTAGATGTAATTGTGTTCAGACCTTGTATAAGATTGAATTTTCTTTGCAAATCTCAAGCCTGTAATCCTTTTGTAAAATTTATTAAAACTTACTAAAAAACAGAAACAGCATTAGCTCCTTGAGAGCGTATGTGCAGCTAGCTGTAATAATTCCATTTATACAGAAAAAAATGGAGATGGGAAATGAGTGGTTGCAGATGATTTATAATTGAAATATAATTAATCCAAACCAGACTGTAACACTGCTGTGTTGGGTCATATTGCTTAATTGGTGTTCTCCACAGCTGTAACTTTCTTTTCATGTAATTTACAATTCATAGCCTTGCTGTCATTTCTCTTCCCTGCATGACTGCCTTTTTGTTTATCTTCCTGAACTATGTTTTTATTTATAGAGTATTGTACACTTTCTGTTTGCTTGCTAAATTCCCTTTATGCATGCTAAATCGCCATTTTCAGCCATTTTTTATACATTTACAGAACGTATTCATTACTCAGTTCTTAGATTTATGCACATTTTGACAGGAATTGGTAAAACTTTCTTGAATCTGATAGATCAAAACAACCCAAAATAACAGTTGGGAGAAAGCTTCTGCATGCTATAGCAGCAAGCATCCATCAGCTCTCCAAATTAGTGGCATTTGTACTAGTATCTATTACACTTGTTGCAAAAAGACTGTAATGTTGCATATTTCTAGTAAGCTTGCTGTAGATCCATTTATGAAACAGTGTTTCTTTGAACAGGTGTACTATGTGTTGGGCTTTGTGCTGTTTGATGGGTTTGCCCTTGGCTGGGGACCAACCCACACACCTGTTCACTCAGCCAACCCCCCCCTCTCCCCAACCGCGAGGACAGGGGAGAGGATTAAAGGGGTAAAGGGAAAAAAAGGACTTGTGGGTTGAGATAAGATCAATTTAATAACTAAACTACAATAATATTGAAAATAATACTATATACAGATATACAAATGAGTGACACACAGTGACACTGCCCACCCCTACCCAATGACCAAGGCTCAGCCTGTTCCTGACTAATGATCCCAGAGGAGGGAGAGTCCCAAAACCGTACTCACGGAACACAGATAACAGTCCGAGCATCCCAGACTGAGAGCTGACCGGGGTGGGGGTGGGAAGGCCTTGGGAGAGTGACTGCCTGGAGCGAGGCGACCCGGAGCAAAAGAGATCCGGAACCAAAAAGGGCCGATCTTCCGGAGGGTCCTCACCTATATATGGGGCATGACGTGTGTGATATGGAATAGATTATTGGCCACTTTGGGTCTCAGTCCCGAACCTAAGATCAAATCCTGGGCTAGGAACTGGAGCTGTGCTCCCTCCCAGCTTCTCCTGTTTGCAGACAGCCAGAGAAGCTGAAAGACCTTGGCAGCCGCGTAAACATCACTTTTTATCAGCTTTCTTCTGAGCACAAATCCAAAGCACAGCCTCTTGCTAGCTATTATGAAGAAAGTTAACTCTGTCTCAGCTGTTAACCCAGGACATGCTGCTTTGATGAGGCAGAAGGCACAAGGCTTTTTAGTGAGCAGGGAATGGCAACTGGTGTTGCTACATCCTGCTGCCGGATGAAGAGGGCTTGTGGCTAGAATGACAATGGGCATTTAGCAGAGGGTTTTTAAGTCTCTGTCCACTGAAGGAACTTGCTTCGTGGACAAACTGCAATAAAAGGTATTTTTACTGAACTGCCAGCCTCAGATACAACAGGCTTGCAAAACATAAGGTTTGTGTGAAGATACATGAAAGCCATCAGCTCTGATCCCTTAGGAAGTTACAGGTTCAGCATTTTCAGATTATTAAATTTGCCACTCCTAAAAAGATAATATAGAACACAGGATGCTGTTTTTCATATATTTATGACACAGACGTAGTTGAATACACACTGACTGCTTAGCAGCTCATAATTGTTCATAGCATTCTAATTTTATTAGAATAAAGTATTTAGTGTTAGACAAACACCATTGTAGTATCCCTTCTGACTGGGTTGAATGTCCTACAATGACAAAAGATAAAAACTAAAAGTAAAACAGCAAATTGCCTACAGAGAAGACTGATAAATCGACACCCAGAAATTAGTATGTTTAAATTCATTTTGTCGTTAAATACAGAAACCATGAATCTCTGGGGTTCAAGTAGAGGACAGTTTTCACATACTTAGCATATAATGGATAAGATCTGAAATGAATGTCAAACCACACTTCTTCCCTAGAGAGCTTTCAGGCTGAACTCACAAGGTTCACGAAGTTCAATATTACCTCTCATTGGTTTTACTGTAAATAATACTTCCAAAAAAAATAATGTGTTTAGAGGACTATGCAGAATGAAACCTTTATGAGGTGTAGTTTTGCACTGTAATCACCTAAACTAAGGATTTGCTTTTGAAGCCTCTTACATTTATCCTGCTCTGCTTGCATACTAGTTTATCAGATAGCAAGTTACGAAGTGATCTTTTTTCACTGAGAATTGAACCATGTTTTCAGGATACTTCTGAAGTTTTTGAGGAAATGTGTAATGTGTTACATCAAACAAGTATTTTGGTAGTTTATAAAAGATCAAATAAGATATTAGTTAATTTAAAAAAATTTTTTTCTTGTCTTTTTTTTTTCTCTTTTCCTTTTCTCTCCCTCATTAACAGAAGTGTTGCATGTGTTAGTTCTTTGACACTGGTTCATAGCTTTTCAGCACTAGAGTCAGAGTTCCAGTAAGAACTACCAGTTTGCCAGGGAGCATTTGCATGTATAGAAACTCTGAAACCATCCTCTGAATCATTAGCAGCTTTATAATCAGGTGTGAATAAAAACAACTTTGAGATGTTGCTGGACAAGTTGTAATTCCTGATATATATATATATATATATAAATGCATGTGCATGTTTATGTATTTTTAAACTTTTCATCTCTGAGGTGATTCCATTCAGAGATGGGTAGAGTGATGCTGGCACACACGGTGCATGGTTTGCACTGAGTATTTTCATAGAATCATAGAATGGCCTGGGTTGAAAAGGACCATAGTGATCATCGAGTTTCAACCCCCCCGCCATATGCAGGGCCGCCAATCACTAAACCAGGCTGCTCAGAGCCACATCCAGCCTGGCCTTGAATGCCTCCAGGGATGGGGCATCCACGACCTCCCTGGGCAAACTCATTGACTTCTATGCATGTGTGTTTTGGCTTTATTTATGATAAAAATAGCGGATTGTTCTTTGCAGATTCCCCTCTGCCAAGACCAAAGTAAAACACGGTGTCTTCCATTAATGATTTGCTGGAATATTCTGCAGACTTTTTGATTATGTTTATAAAACAGAAGTATATTATTTAAATAAAACACCTGTTGTAAAGTTTTTTGAAAACTTAGCTTTCAATAGCAAAAGTTGTTTTAGTTTAGAAAAAAGACTTGTTTATGATTAAGCAAACGGTTAAGAGACATTAAATACAGCTGGCCATGGTCCAGATATAAATTGTTAAACTTTTGGCACTTAGAGCCATCAGACAGAAATGGGGTTTGTAATGTGAAGAGACTGGTTTGAAAGAGAAAGTGGGGCACCTGTATGTTAGTGTTTTAAATATCTTGATTCTCCTATAATTATTTTAAAATTACTTCTAGTAGACTATTCCTGCTAACTTTTGCTTAAAGTTTGAATTGAGAAATTTTCAAAGGACTTAATGGACTTGGTTCTAAAAATGTACTAAGCTCTTTCTGTGAAGATAACCCTACTAACAGTGACATGGTACTGTATGGTTGGTCTTAGTTAACGAAATGGAGGGAGCAATGTAATGAGAAGACACCTCCTCCTGATTTCCGTGAGGTCTACAGTTGTAGATCACCTTAGGAAAATGGATAATGAAATAGTTACTATCATTGCACATTGTATAACTGGTTCACCTCTCCTGGTGTTTTCTTCTGTTACTAGTTGCATCATTATTAGAATATTTGTTCTGTCACGAGTTTCAGAAATTACAGCTTGGTATATCAATAAGCCTTACAACCCAGGTATGTGTCTACTTTTTTTTTTTCCCCAAAGAGACAGCATCCAGACAAATGTTTATGTTAATAGCTTGTCATCCTTGACAGATATGTGCAGAGCAGAGTCCTAGACTAGGGAAGTAGCAGTCTTAAAAAAAAAAAAAAAAAGCATAGACATACAACTAGGAGAGAAGAAGGGTGTGTGGGCATTAAAAATACAATAAAACCCGAAGCCTGTGTTGTTTTCTTTTTTAACTATAGTAAATGCATTTTTAAAATTAGAGTTCTTTTTTTTTTCTTTTTTGGTCCTCCCTCCCATCCCACTCCAGTCCTTCCTGGCTGACTGTGAAGGTATTTTTCCAGAGTCTCATTGGTCTGTGCCATGTCTTTACTATGAGCACTTTGGCTGAGTAACTTTCATTTGAACATTACTGTTATCTATGTTACACATGTCATGTTACTGCAATTCTTTTCTTCTTCTGAAAGCATAATTAGGCAATAGGTCATAGAAAATAAGTGTGTATATATATGTATGTGCATACATTCAGTGTATCAGTGACATGCAATGGAGCAGTTAAGCAAAAATGCGATTAATGTGGACCCACACAAGGATAGACCTTTTGATTTAAAAGGGGAAAAAAATGGCCATTTGTGTCAAACTGGAAAATTTTAATATTGATAACTGTTTTTAACTGCACAATAGAATCAGGTTGCAGGCTGTACACTCTAGATATCTGACATCTGTTATAAAAGTGGATTGTCTTTTCAGAGAGCTGAGGGTTAAGCTTGTTCTGCATTAAGCAAAATATAGAATATATCCATCCAAATAAACAAAGAAGCTAACAATGTTGAAATCATTCTGGTTAGCAGACAAAAGATGCAAATTGGTGTATGAAATCAGAATTAATCCATATAAGCCTGGTTACCTTGCAATATTAGTTGGGCTGGTTTAAGTAGGGCTGGACTGAGTTGTTGCCTGTTTGGAAGGTGCCCCTGTAAGTCCTTACTGTTTACTTTACAGAAAATAGGCAAAATTCATTGGTCTAACAGGATAAGGTGTTTAATTTCCTTTAGTCATTATGACTCAAGCAGTAACAATATTGAGCAGTTTTTCCTGTTATATATGCATGTAAATAATATTCCTGCAGTAAGGAAATAAAAATTTTCTCAGGAATAAAGGATGTGGCTCTTGTTTCATGGAATAATGTATGGTCTTCCTTCTGGACACAGGTTTATTTGGTTTATATTTGCTTGCCAAATACTAATACATTGTGATAGATTAATTGGTAAGTAGTAAATAGCTGGATAGTAAGCCTTGTTTGCAATAACTTCATTGCTTAGCATATGCTTATAAGAAGGGCAGAATCTAGATGGTACTGAGAGTCAGATTTGTTAAATTGACATCCTGAATTAAAATTTGTGACAACATCAGGCTAACCATACCGTAAGTGCATGCTGGTCGCGCTTACAAGAGTAAGAGCTTCCCCAGAGGACCAATAGTCCATCCTAGAGAAGCTTTTGAAGATGATTTATATACAGGTCCATTTCCTTGGGTAGCTGCCAGTGGATCCTAGCAAGACAGGAAAAGTCTGCAGCGAGTGACGGCACAGACTCTGTGATGCAAGCAGAATCGTTTATTGTACAAAAGCATCTTTCTTTTATACCCCTCGCCAGTCCTTTTAAGTACTTGCCGGTTCCTGCATGGTTTTGCTGATTTTGCAGGGGTTTCGCTGATCTTGCAAGCAGTTGATAGCTTGTTAACTTTTTGCATCTGATGACCACTGCGCACGCTGACTGTGAAGAGATTCCTCCAGTCAGCTCTCAGTCACGCAAAGGCTCCTCCAATAGGCCCTATGTACATGTGATGTCCTTGTGCCAGTGTTGCTTCTTTCAAGATTGCTTCCTTACTTTATGCCCTACTTTCTTACTCTCTGCCCTGTTTTCCCACAAAAGTCCTTATCAATGGAAATTTTGGAGGAGAAGCAAAAAAAATCTATGCAAAGGAGATATCTAGGCTTGCACAACGTAATGTTCACCTTTAAAAGGGTTGTTTTTCCTTTTCTTCACAGCAAACTCTTTTTGTTCTCCTCCAGTAGAGATGAGAACATATCTTGCACTGAAGGTGATGGGCCACTCCTACAGCCTGTAGAGTAATACTCTACTTTTTGTTGCCTCTAGAGAAGTAGTTCTTTTTCTGCTTTTTGTGAAGGACTGCTGATAGTTAAGTTGCTTTGCTAACTTGAGTACTGCTTCACATTTAGCAAAAACTACAGTTTGTTGGGGTGTTCCCAGATGAGGAAAGAAATGGGGGATCCATTCTGTTGAGCTTTGTAAGATACTACTGCAAAACTCGTCAGAAACCTTTGTTCAGTAGGTTAAGTTTATGTTGTGTTACTGATGATGAAATAATGTACTGCTAGTAAATGAAGTACAATATAGTCTCGTCAGAGTATATAGTGCTTCAGTAAATAGGTATGCTTTAAAAATGCTTGTTTCATCATAAAGTTTACAGCAGTGCTGTGCAACTGAAATTTAGTCCATTTGTCTTAAATTATCAAAGGCTGCATATTCAGTCTGTGCATTTTAAAATCTTTCTATATTGTTTTTAAAAATTGATATGGTAAGAATAATAATTTGGTTATAGAACAACACAAGTTTGGGATTATTCATTATTTGACTTTGTTTTGATCTGTAAGGTTCTTCAATGCCACTGTGGATATATCAGATTTAGTAACTGCAGTGGAAACAACTAGGTTATTTTGGCTGTAGTAGAGGAGCTCGTCCTTAGAAGAAACTGAAAAATTAAATCTATGCACATCTACAGTTAACCATGTTTTTGTGGTGGAAATACAGCTTAGTTTCTAGGCTTCATAGTCAACAGATAAGGCTGTAGAAATGTAGAAAATAATTCAGTAAGTCATTTGCTGCTGCTTCACATTTCACTTACTATCTCTCTTGCTGGCTTTGTCTACTCCTTTCCCATGCTGCCAGGCTGCCTAACTTCTGCTAAACACTTTTGTTTTCAGGCTTTTATACAAATTCACTTCAGTCATCACACATTGACTTTCAGATAGACTGGGACAAAAGGCTTAGAGAAAACATGTGCAGTAAGAAAGCAGATAAATCTAAAATGTGTAAATACTGTATCACTTGCTGAAAGATCTGTCCCTTACTTAGACTTCTTGTCCATTTTGCTGCCTTCTAACTCCTGCAAAGCTGCAAATCTTAGCTACTGAAATGTTTTGTGTAAATGAAGTAGTATCTGAGTATCCTATGTGGGTATTCTGTACATCCGTTAAATTCTTTCTGATGTAATGTGCTTTTTGTTTTATGAGTTATTGGCGGTTGTTCTTTGGATATATTGTGTTTTGTATAACCCCAACTTGAAGTATTAATGGTTCTTCCATGTTTCTAAAATCTAATGGCCACATGAGAATGAGGTTAATTTTAAAGTTAAAGCTGTAAATACTGTTTCTTTTTTTGCTATTCGTAATTGCTTCATATGTATACACTAAAAAGTGAAATTTCTTGAGTTGCAGTAGCAAAGACTACAGCATTCATTTGAAAACGTGAATAAATTAATCAACATAAAGCAAAATAGTCAATATCTTTAGAATGAAAAAACACTTCTATAAACTGTAAAAGGTTTTAATTACATCTAAAGAGGCCTCAGTGTGATCTTCAATAGAAAAGTCTGTGTAAATTATTTGTCAGTGGTGGTCTGCCAAAAGAAACCTAGGGGACAAGGCAAATCAGACAGCTGAAGTTAATTAGTGTTGTATTTGCATCCCAAATGCAGAGGGACTTAAAAGCCACCAGCAGTAATGTGTAATGATTCTTCAAAATCACATCTTTGCGAAATAATTTTCTGAGTTTGGCTTTACAGTGTGATTTGACTGTGGGATCTGGAGAATGAGTTTTTTACATGAGTCTTACGGAAGCTTGCAGCAGAATAAAAAGTGGTGTATTTTGTTAAAAGTAGATTAGTTAAAAATGTGTTATTTGGGAATGTATCAAGATATATAACATCAGTCACAAGTTGTGGTAGCAGGTAGAAAAATACACTTCTTTGTTACTTTTGCATATGTCAGTTTACTCAGACCTGTGTAGGAGTCAAATCATGTCCAGTTTGTTAAAAGGTGCTGTGATAACAATAAAATCTAGTGATTTTCCAACAATGGAGAGGAGTGCTAATTCTGAGACTTATTAGGATTAGACCTAATTAGATAGGTCATCAGCTTTTCTGGAAGTCTTCTGTATGGGAAGAAAGTTATTCTGTATTTTTGTTTTGGTTATGATGGACTTACAAAACAAATAAGTATAAAACATATATCTTTCAACACTGATTAAAAATACTTAATCTTGGATTTGAAAGTATGCAATACTATTTTGTTTGCCTGATGGCATATCTGAAACACTGAAAATGTTGCATTGCTTAAAATCAAATAGTATAAAGCTAAAGAAGTTACTTTAAAAATTAATTGTAGCTTCTATCCAAGTTCTTATTTTACTGTATTAAATACTTAACAATGAACAATAGTATGCAGTTTAGCTATTAGCCAGAGATAGGTGAATAGTAATGCCTGGCGGCTATCAGTTTTAAAATAACTTCATTCTAAATGCTTGTTGAAAGCACACTGAAGGAATGAACTGCTTTAATCACATTACTATAAAAGAAAATATTGCATGCAGATATTTCTTTGTGTTTCAAGATACAAAATTTCTCCATATCAGCTTCCCAGGAAGGGATAAAGCTGGGAGAAAAAGCCTGGGGAACACTGTTAGTTTTTTTTTTTTTTTTTTTTTCCCTGTGAGGGATGGGGAACTTGCAGACCTCTCCAGTATCTGCTAGTTTGACAAGCAAATTAAAATACCCTTTCTCTGTACAGTAGCATGATATCTGACAGTGAGTCTGCCATGTGCTAAATCACTGCTTGAACCTTAATTCTTCCTCTTTGGCAGTAGTAGAATCTGTGGGTGGGATGTAGATGCAGATTCTACACACTGGCTCAGCTCCCCTTTCAGTATTCTGAATGCTCCCTATCAGAGAGCTACCTACTGGGTTTTTTTATTTATTTTTTAACATAGAAAATATTTAGTTTGCAAACATATGTGAAAAGGCTCACATGCACTGAGCAGTTTCCAGAGATTGGAGATGATGTGACCTGACTGCTTTGCAAAGCGAACCAGTGAACTTACAGTGCTTGTTTTTGACTCAAGAACAGAATCAGGTTTCTGATCCCTCACCAGCACAGGTGTGGGAGATAGCCAGATGAAGGAAAAAACAGTTAATGGAAAACTGATTGACAGTTCTTCAGAGAAGCATTCTCAAAGGGAGGCAGGCATACACTAAGGTGTATAACTTTGGTTGAAATATATTTATAATTAATAATGCAAGTCAACTGCAGAACGTGTAAGTTTTTGTTAAAGTTACTGAAACACATAGCATTTCAAATTGACATCTGGTGGGTAATCATCTTCTCAGTGTTTTAATCCTTGATTTTTATCCTGTAGACATCATTGCACTTGGGTAAATAACTGTAGTTCTTTCAAAACAATAGCATAATCAGCAATTAAAATATTATAGAAAATATATTTAACTGCCTTTTTTTTTCTTTTCTTTTTTTTTTTTTTTTTTTTTTTTTTTGGCTATAGGGCAGATTATACCAGAAAGAAGATTTGTAGAAGCAATAAATCGTCAACCATATCAGTATGAAATGGGTCACTTTCCAACAGAATGGGAAGGTAAATCCTGAATATTTTGGTTTTATTTCAAGATAATTTTGCCATTGAATGTAGATTCAGTATTTTTAATGGAAAGCCTGGCTGTGTGGATAGGTTGTCTGTTATCTTTAATTTTGAGCGATACAGGCTTTTGTTTAACTGCACAGTTATGAATTCTTAAAGTAATCCCTTTACAAATAGGATACATTAAGTTTAGGAAATCACTACTTAATAAAAATGTAAATAAACCCTGTAAATAAAGTATGACCATAACTTTCTCCTATGAAATGTGAAAATATTTGTGCCTGAGGGGGATCTGATAGAATAACCAGAACTAAATGTGTTAAACTTCCTAATTATGCCTTCGCTGCAGTGTTAATTTGTAAGTCAGTTGAATTAGTGGTGGCTTATAGTGATGGGGCTTTTTTTTTTTTTTATGGTGGTATTTGGTTTCCTATACTGTTCCTTTCACAATCCTGAAGGGAGTTGGAGAACCTGTTAATAATTAACCATTTTTTCCCACTGCTACTGATGAAAATTTTGTCTGAAAACTTGGGACTTAGAAAGAAATTCAGGGAAGTTAGAGAATTGCCTTAGGACTGGCTGAGAGAGGAAGCAGAGAGGGAGTATATGTTGGGTCCTTGAGGCTGTAGGAGCTTGAGCAAAGTGTGGGGTTAAATGTGGCTTAAAATCCAGGACCGTATAGCATAAGAAGTAGTAGATAGAGCCTACCCATCATTCAGCATGCTTTTTGGGGAGAATAATATGTAGGCATCTCCTAGAAGCTGATAGGTTTAAAGCAAACAAACTTCTTTATTTTAAGCCATACGTAGTTAAACTGTGGAATTCCTTGTCATTGAATATTCTCCTTGCTGGAAGTTTGCAAAAAGTGATTAAAAGAATCAGTGGAAGAAAAATATTTCTCATCTATAGCCATTACTGTGGTTTAATTTGTCAGTGAGCTGTAAATTAATGGAGGCTATAGGGTGTTTTGAGGAAATATTGCAATATATTTGCTTTACCTCATCTTTCCTTTGTGTTTACTGTTGTCCCCTGAGGGAGATGATACTGAGCTAAGAGAAAACTTTGGTCCCAGTATATCCTTTCATGGAGTAAGTAGAGAAATATCAAGTGTTCCCATCTTGCATTTTATCATTGTCATTACACTGATTCCTTTGGGGTTTTTGTGACCAAGTAAAGGTAGTATTAACAGCTAAAAGCTTCTCAGAGATGTTTCAACCCTGCTAGCGGCATTTGCCAACCGTGGCAAAATCACAGTATCAACAGCTTCTGTCTTCTACTGCCGCAGTACCCACAGTTCGCAGTTACTCCTTGTTCTTTATCAGTCAGAGATGGCTATCTTCTGAAAGAGAGCAGCAGTCTGGTAGGCTTGCCTTTACTAAATCATCTGGTGCTTGAATGGGTATCTATCTAATCGAACTTTCTGAAGGTCTGCTTCCTCATTGAAAAGTCTTCCAGCCATTGTTGGTCATCTTAGGTCTGTGTCGCTGTCATGCAATAACTCTGCCCCACAAACACTGAAGGGCATTTGCAAAGCTGAGCAAGGGAGGGAGACAACCCAGAGCAATAAGACCTATAAAGAGCAAAAACCTTTGGCACAGATCCTGACCTATATACTGGGCAGGATGTCCATGATATGGAATAGACCACTGGCCAATTTGGATCTCAATCCTAAACCTAAGGTCAACTCCTAGGCTAGTAATTGGGGCTGTGCTCCCTCCCAGCTTCTCCTGCACCTGCAGACACTGGCACAGCAGAGAAGCTGAATAGTCCTTGACTGTCCTGGCAGCAACTACAACCATTAGTATGTTACCAGCCTTCGTCTCAGCACAAATCCAAAACAAAGCCTTTTAATAGCTACTGTGAAGAAAGTTAACTGTCTCAACTGAAACCAAGACAAGTACAGTATACTAAAATATACTGAATTCAGATGATGTTTTCTTTGCTTTTAATCTTGTATCTTGAGCTGTGCTTTATGTAGAATATTTCAGAAATAGATTTGCACAGAGGGACTATTATATATTAAACCTAACTAACTTCATGTTATGGCTATAAAGATATTTTAGTAAATTTTGTTATTGTATTTTTCCCTCAGCTACGTAGCAATAAAGGAATCTTTCATTAAATAATGATTTTTGTAATGCAGCTCAATAGAGATGTTAAAATGAGTTTACCTGTTGTGATTTGGAAAATGGTATCCATCTTTGTGTCAGCAAGTTTTATTTAGGATTAAAATGGAAAAGATTTGTAGTCCTGACATTTATTAGAAAGAAGGAAGGCTGATAGCTCCTATAAAACCATGCATTCAAATGCTTGTTATAGCTGGAAAGAAAAATAGCACAATGTTATAACTGTACGCATTACTTCTGTGCTTAACTAGATACAGTCTGATAGTGGAATTTTTGATATGAGAAATCTTAAGAATCATTTCATTGCTTTTGAATCTTGGTACTAATCGAGATCTATTAAAGAATGTTGTGTAATGCTGGTTGCTTCAAAGCTTCTGTTCACAGGATGTGTGTTACTGTGTTGCCCTTCACTGTTCTATTTGTGGCTTGTTAAACTGAGACAGATAATTAAATTATAAAATTTTTACACAGAAATATTCCATTAATCTGAAAATCATTAATAAAATAACTGCCTCTCGTATTGAAAGAAAACGTATTGTAATAGTTACATTTCAGCAGTAGTTCCTAACTGCAGCTTAATTTTCGTAGAATTTTAAATGTTAAGAATTTTTCTTTATGAATCACTAATTGTATTCAATTGTTAAAATGCAGCTGATGTGTTAAGAAAATGCTAGCAATTTTTAAAAAATGAAGCACTTTCTAGGTGCTGAGAGCCATGGAATCAGAACTAGTGGTACTGTACTTCCATGTGACAGACGCAAGGCGTGGCAAGACAGACGATGGTACTTTGTTGAAAGCGATCCCTTAAATTTTGAAGATTTAAAACTTACTTTTTGAATAAAACATTTTAAACTACTACTTTTCCTTTTTTCTCCAGCTGTATCTTTTATTGGGTAGTGTCTAGTATACGTACTTCACTATACCTGATATCTCTCCCACTTTCTTGCTTTTCTGGATGATGTTGGAACTGTTGCTAAGTGTGGACAAAGATTACTTCTGTCAGGAGGAAAGGCTTGTGTGCTATGATTTTCTCTAATAGCATCGTTGATCCTTTTTTACAAAGAGTGTCTGCAAGACTGCCAGCTGAGAAATGCCGGTCTCAGTCATGCCAGTTTACTCTCTGATCTTGCCAGATTTTGCATTAGGAAATCCTCATAAGATTTCCATGTTTAAAAGTGCTACAGGTACTTGCAAAGTAGTTTCTGGCTCTATAGATTTAATAGGAAGTGATTTGGTTGTATTTTGGATTATCTTAATGAGCTGTTTTTCTTTCCACTGACATAAAACTTGCAGAAAGGGTGATGCTGACTGTTTAGTGCTGTCGCTTCTCCACAATGGCAAATTTGTGTCTAATCTTTGTTAGGTCCAAAAGACCTCTGAGAAGAGCTGGCAGGGACTGCTTTTAAGAAAAGATGTTTGAGAACGGTATTTAAAAGAACATTTTCAGAAAGTGCCATCTGATAGACAAGAACCAAAAGTAATACCTTGCTTCGTATCATTACAGGTATTTTACCATTAACCTTGAATTGAGGCTGTTGGCCTTGCCATCATGGCTAAATTACAAGCTATTTAATGCCATTTTGCCTCCCTTAATTCCATTTGTATGTTAACTGGAAGCTGTTACTCCTAAAACCAGTTTTATAATGTTGCTGAAGCAGAGTGGTGTTAGTGTTTCACCCTATTTGTAACTGCATTTTCAGCAGTGAGATGACAGCATGACTCTGAAGCTTTAATGTTTTAGACTTGCTCTATGACTCATTCCCTAATTCTCCTCAAAATACAGCACAGATGGTATTAGAAAATTACAATTTGGAATAGTTCCTTTTTAAAGCATTTCTGAAACTTTATAGACAGCTACAGGTCAGACCAGGAATTTGAGTGGGTGATAATGAAAATGTGATTTTTCTCTAATTTCTTAATTATCCAAACAGACATACAAAAGAACATTTTGCCATATCTCAGCACTTGGAACTGGCTTTCCTTGTGTTTGTCCTTCTGTTCATTACTGGCCACTTGCCTTCTGCTACTCATTCATTTGAAAAATATGAGAGAAATGACAAATGTCTAGAAAATACACAACCCATTACCTACCGATTGTGTGGATTGAAAAGGCGTGAAAAAATGCTACAGTAGTGGTACTTTGAAAGAGTGATGGATATTGCCTTGTCCACAGTCAGGGAATTTGTTTGTCTAAATAATGCCTGTAATAGAGTTGGAACTGTCTCTAGTAATTCATCGACTGAATGAAGCAAGACCCAAGAGGGTGTGTGTGCTCTGTCTGCAGTGGGGTCCTTTTGGATTGCTACCTCCAGTCAGTCCCACACTAACCATCAGTGTTTGCAATGGGAGTGGGTGTAAGTCTGTTGATTTTGGTTCATCATGGAAAACCAGAGCCACAGGACAAATGTCGTTGCCACTGCTTTCATTCCTCTGCTGTTTTTTCCAGCATGAGTTGACTGAGATGGAGGGAACCTTCCCTCGGTTGCACTACCTCCCCCTCGATGCAGTGAGTAATCCCACGCAGCCGTACGACATGGTGCAGTCAGGTTTGGGGCTGTATCTTGCATCCTGGTTGGAATTCTAGTTGGCACTAACATAAGTAGGGTTTTGGCTTTAGCAGTGTCAGGGACACAGGAATCGTTTTTCTCCAAAGTGGTCTAAGGCTTTTCATACTTCTCAGCACTCATCTTGTCATTTTCTCAGGGTGGAGCTCAGCTCTGCATGGCAAGCTCAACAAGAGACCTGGGCTGTGAGCCCTGCTTTTTAATCCCTGTTTTAGCAGCCAGGGTGGTAGGTAAACTGTGCCCAAGCTCTCCTCACAGAGGTGATTTCCAGACACCCCCTTTCCTCTGTGAAGACTGAGAGTATTGACATGGGAAATAACATCTTGCGTCCTTATATTTTGGGAAATGATACGACTTCCCAGTCATATTGTGGCAAATTCTATTGTAATTTTTTATATAAGCATTTTCTTTCTGTTACTAATTCATTGTGATTTTGAGTTTTAATACTGGCTGTGATCTTTGAAATAATCCATTTGATTTTTATTTCTTTTGCAGCATGGATAAGAAAAAAAAGAGACGATCCACCCACCATTGAGGTGAGAGAGATTAAGTGTCTTTAAGTTTTCAATTGTTGCAGTTAAACTACAATAACTAACTTATAGTGGACTCATCTGTCCAGTAGTTTGTCACTTTTGGGGGAGAATTTAATATGTTGCTTGCCTAACTGATGGAATTATACACAGACTAGATATCTAACACTTAGGAAAAAGAAAAACAAATGGAAATATAAACTCCAATATTCTTTAGCTGTTACTTTTATCTAAGTGAATTCTTTAAGGTGATCTGCCTAGATGTTTTAAGATGTTCATGGCCATTCAAGAGTTTCTTTAATTAAACAAATTCCAAAATTACTGCTATGAATTTTTACAATAGGTCTTCTGTGTATTAATGCAAGATCTTTTTAATGGTGGTTGACTTTAAAATACAGATTTCAAATCCAGTTGCCAGTGGATTCATCAGTACAGGAAGCCAAATTGCACTAACATTTTACAAAGCTAATGAGATGGGGGAGTTGCAGCCATGACTTTTTCCGTACATGGTTTCTAATGGAATGAAACAGGGAAATATCCCACAGTCTTTCATGCTCATGGGTTTGTAAAGAGCAGAAGGAGTTTGACGCTTTGATGCACACATGTACGCTATTTGCTGTGGATTTGTATTGCAAATGGCTAAGCACCAGCTAGGAATGAGTGAGTAGGTGAGGCATGGTTTACTACAGAAGATTCAAACTGACACCCACAGAGGCAGATAATTGACATGCGTCAGTAGGAATAACACTGTCTAATTCGGTGAAGCTATGTTGGCATGCTCTAGCCAGAGATGTGGTCACTGAGATCTTCTGGAATTTACTGGTTTGCGACACCTGCCTGTGTGTTAAGAAGACTTGGGGAAGCTTGTCAGCTGATGTTTACAAGCCATAACTCATTGAAATGAGCTCCCACATGACTTTCAGCTTTTCAGCTAATTCTCTCTGCCTCTGTTTTGTATTTGCCACTGATAATAAGGGCTACAATACACCCTTGAATGTAAAAAGTTTAAGTTAAATTTATCCTCAGATATTTTTAGGACTTGAAGCAAATTAGCAGACTTCTCTTTGCATTAATGCTTGGAGAAGTATTAAGTGTGATTTTTTAAAATTTTTTTTCCTCCCCTCCTCATCCTAGTTACTTGTGCAGAAGTGATACTACAGCAATTGTTCTGTCTAAGCTTGGACTGACAGCCTTTTAAGTATCTCTGGCTCCATGCTAACTGTATACATACAACTTTTATTGTTGAAGTTACCACTTCATGTGGTGCTTGAAGACAAGGGGGTGTTGCATGCCTTTTGTCCCATCTTTTCTATGAGCCAGATTGCTGTAAAAATTGTGCTAAGATAACCTGCTCCAAAGAAGCCAAGCAGCCTTGGCTTTGGAATTGGTGCAGTAAAGCCCCTCCTGGTGCTGGCAATGTTTGTTCTGTTTCAAATAAGGAGCAAGGAGTCTTACAGGTGAGAGAACTGTGAATCAATAATGTTCTAAATATTTTACCTTCCAGAAAAAGCAATTTATGGAGAATGAAAGGTTATTGGGAGTAATAGTGCATTCAGAATTAAAGGGCTGCTTATACCTTCAGTTTCATGAGGTAATAGATCTGAAAAATAATTTAGCAGCTAGATACTTTACCTGCAGGGCTGTGCATTGACCTTATTATGGCAGAAGTGATATACCAGGAGTTTGAAAAGTAGCATTCTAGTTTAATGCAGCCAACAACTGAATGTCAGGCAGGTGTTCCCTCACCCTCTCCCATTCCCGGGGAATGAGGGAGACAATTGAAGGGGTAAAGGGAACTGAGACTCATGAGTTAAAAAAATTTTAATGATTGAAATACAATAAAATTGAAAATAATAATGACAATAATATCTATAATAATAATAGTAATAATATACAAATAAGTGATACTCAAACTTTCTTTCAAGTAATCTCTAAATTGTTTTTTCCTGCATAAGAAAAGGTAGTTCAAATATATGTGTGTTAAAATTTCTTGCTAATATTTTGAAAATAAAGCTGCAGTCACATTTTAAATATGTGGTAGTGCAGCCTAATCTTTTTTTTTTCTGTATTAGTGTAGAGTGGTATGCATGATCTACTTTTCTCCTGGTTTGAAACTGTTATACCACAAAACCTTATATCACAATATCATTAAAAATATAATTATACTAGTGAAGTACATGTAGAATACTGTTTGGTCCCTATTTGCTTTAGTGTTCTAGCTACATAAACTTTACTGGCTGCTATTCTGTATTATATTCCTTTTTTGACAGTAATGTTGATATGGTAAACTGCTGTTTGACAGCTATGGAACAAGGGACTATTCGTGGCCATATTTCACACTGAAACCCTGTATAACAAATCTCCTTGTTCTTTCAAATATTTCTCATGAGACTAGACTATTTTTGAAAAAGGATGCAAAGCCCACAAATTTTGCATTTTTGTTTTAATGAAATTTTACTGTCAACATCATATTGTAACACCACAAAACAGCATTACAGTTCCTAAAGTAAGTTTCTGGAGCTGTGCCTATGTTCCTGCTTTTGTGGTCTGTAATACTACCTTTTTTTTTTTTTTGGATGGTTTTCCTTTTTTTCCTGTCCTTTGCCCATCATATTTTTTTTTAATATCAAATGACTTATGTTTAACTTTATTAAAATTTCTGTTCCCCTTTTCTGCTCTGTTTGCCTACCCATCCCCCTTTAGTATTTTATGTGGGTTGTTTTTTAATATTTGTCAAACTTGTCTTTTACTCAGCTTTCAGCTTTGGATGATAGAGGTTGCTGAACTACTCAGACTATCAGGTCTCATGATGAGATCTGTGATCAAACTTTAATTGAAAATATTGCAGAGATATGACTTCACAAATCAGCTGGATCTTACTGACCTTACTGATAGCACTGATGACCACATTTTGGGAATAAATGGTTTGGTGAATACTGTAGGTCAACAAAATGTCATTCATAATCATTATGATGTGTCAGTCACTTAAGTGAGAATGACTGTGAGTTGTCCTTTCTTATACTGGTCAAGGTAGCTGAGTCATTACACCAGCTAAGCCTGTTGATGATGTTCTTAAGACTTGATAATGTTTTGGGTTCAGGCCATTCTTTCTTCCATAAACACCTAACTGATCTTTTTTTGTTTCCATTATAAAGCTTTCATTTTCTCTCCGGAGAAATTGCTTTACATCTTTTTTTCTTTTTTTTTTTTTTTTTTTTTAATGGAAGAATACTCCAGTGACTTCACAAGACAACTTGTTCAGTGTTAAGTGTTTCCAGTATTTAACGACTTCTTCCCTCCCTGCGCCCTCACCACTTTTTCTCCCCATTTTTGGAAGAAGTCACTTAGACTTCTGTGTACTGGGCTAGTCATAACGCAAGAATGCTTCCCATTGCCTTAGTTATTTCTAACCTGACCAGTAACATAAGGCATGTTACTCGTTGGAAGCCTTAGGTTTTAAAAGCCAGCTTCTGGGATACTGGAAACAGTTAGTTGCATTTTGATTTTACTGCAGCTTGAAATATGCCAAGTCTCATTCTCAACTGAGTTATAATGAGGGTGATAACTTTGCAAATGCATGCAGATCAAGTTGTTTCTTATCTTGCGCTTAAACATATTCTGTTCCTATGGTAATTGGGGAGTCTATCTTGACAGAGAATTTTGGATCACGTCTGCACCCAGTGTAAGCATGCATGTGTGTTTACCACATACATGTACACATACAGCTTTATAACAGGTGAGAACCTGAGCTTGAATATGTATATTTTTGTATTACTATATTATTCTGTCATCTGTCCTTTATATATATTGTGTATGGTCATTTATGGTTGGCTGAGGAAAATTTGTCATTACTTTAATTTCTGTGCAGCTGTAAATTACATTTTAACCAATTTAACAAGTGATGAATAAGTAGACTATTACGTTTCTGTATTATGCATATAGGAAACTAGACACATGTAGCATGTTTTTGGGCAAACAGGAAAATGTGTCCTTGTCTAGAGAGCTTACAGTTTTAAATTAATGAAAATGTTTTAAAGGCTACAAATATTAAAATATTTTTAATTAAAGGCTATTTTGTGGAAGCAGATTTCTTCATTTATCGCTTTATATGCAAATTAGTTTGCATGCTAAACATTAATGTTGTCGGAATTTATTAACAAAAGTTGTCTTGGGATATAGCAATTGTTTTATAGGACTGATGCTCCATCCATGCAAGTTATTTCTTTAAGAGACTGTTCCCTTCCACTCTTTGAGCCATAGTCTACTTTCAGGATGGCTTATCAACGAGGTTGTCAGGTAAATGTAAACGTGCTGTTTCACATACGCTCCTACCTCCCAGTTTTCCTTCTGGCTACAGATTTCATTCCTGATTTAAAACATGGTATCTTTACGGTTTGGATTTTTCACTTCATGGTTGCAAAGGAAAGAAAAAATCCTCTTGGGAGGCAGGGGGAAAATCCTTCTCTTCAGGACACCTTTTTCTGGGCTTATGTCGCTATTCCATCACCAAAGCAGAACTCCACAAATTTCAAATACGTTAAACAACCTCTAGGACTGCTGTGGGTACGTCTCACTCGTGGGAGAGAAGGTAGAGAAATCGTGAACAAAGCCTTTCGGCCTGTGAAGAAGGGAGGGGTGGGGGAGAAGTGCCTTTTTAAGATGTAGTGCTCTTCCTCATTATCTTCTTCTGGTTTTGTTAACAAATTAAATTGGTTTTGTGGTTTCCCCAAGTTGAGTCTGTTTTTTGTCCGTGGCCATAAGTGGTAAGTGAACCCCCCCCCCGTCCTTGCCTCAGGCCACAAGGTTTTTTACCTTTTGTTCTCCTGATTCTTCTCCCCATACCACCAGAGGGGAGGAGAGAGCAAGAGGCTGCATGGTCCTTAGTTGTCAGGTGGCCTTAAAACCACAACATGCTGGTAAGAACTTCTGGAGCCTTCTTAGCACTTTGTTGATAGGCAACTTTGCATGGCATTCACAAGCTTTGCTGCCTCCTGCATCTCCTGTTT